GAGAATACGTACAAACCAAGAACGTTACTATTTGTACAAAGAACCACCCATAGTCACAATGATAAAAAAGGCAGAATACGCTGGGCAGGTCACGTTGAAAGGATGCCGGAATGCAGAACAGCCAAAATTATATACAGTACAGGCCGAAGCCTAGGGGCAGACGACTCACCGGTTGCCCAATGATGAGGTGGATTGATGATGTGGAGACAGATTTACACCAGTTGGGGGTTCGAGCATGGAGACGGAAAGCCATGGATCGCTCCGAGTGCAAGGATGTGGTGGAGCAGGCCAGGGCCCTACATGGGCTGTAGTGCCATGGATGATGATGAATTGATTCAATTAATCATGTCATTCTTCATTTTGTTTATTTTCTGCGGACTGATACAAACTCCTGCAGAATGCTTGTCTTCTGGCTGGCATTTCAAGCTCTGGTTGTCTAGGGGTAACAACTCTTCTCATAAACCGATTCATGGAGTACGCCGCTCTTTTTTCGCCTACTTATTTTTATCGAACACTTCACTGTTGGGACTATACTACAAGCAATTTGAGAATCAATCCACACATGGGAGATGGCCCTCTCGGGTACTACCAACCCACACAGGGACTACCAACCCACACAGGGACTACCAACCCACACAGGGACTACCAACCACACAGGGACTACCAACCCACACAGGGACTACCATACTTTGACGACGACTCTCAACACGCTAACTCTGCACCTTGCAAGCGCACTCTCTGTTAACTAAGATTCGTACCATGGCCAAACACCATTTATCCACCTCACAAGTGTCTTGACCATTACGTTTCAGCCAATCGCCATTGTAAGACTTTCAACGCAAGTCGCGGGTCATAGCTCACATTCCATACAAGCTCACTAACCCCAACAAAACATCGACCCTTGTGTTATCTAAAGTATTGGGGATTATATTTGTAATATTAACCGATATAGAGACCTTAAACTCTAATCATCTTATTATTTTCCCTAAAAGAGGGGGTTTAAAGAAAACAAATATAATTTGCTCTTATCTGACCCGTGAAATTACGCAACTTATAGTCCGAGAAATGAAGGGAAACAAATAATTTAATAAATTAAATATAATAAAATATTTTAAATTAGGCATATTTTATTTACATCTTACATTATATTTCTACTGCTGTTATATTATTATACTATTTGCTATTTCTCCATGCCTGAATTAAAATTATTGTCATAAAACGTGTCATTTTTAATAATAATTCTGTTTGAAGTTATTTTCTTCCAATGAAACAAACATTTTTTTCCCCCATTATGGTTAGCCTATCTGTTGTGATGAGGTAAAAATTATTATATCGCTGTTTTGTTCCTTAAAATAAATTGTAATTCTGATACTTACAACAATATATTTTTGCAGGGTGGCAAAATATTTTTTTTTTTGAATGAGGACATCTTGCATCAAATTGTTATTTAATACCGGGTATTATGTTTTTACTTATTAACACTCGTATGCCAAGCATTACACTAATCACAAAAACGCTCAATGTGTTCTCCTAATTCACAAAGACATTATGTAAGCTTTTGTGCCTCTGCTTAATGCTTGTCAATAAAGCGCTGACCTGCTTTGTCAGAATCATTTTTTGATTGCTTGATTTATACCAACTTGAGTTGCTTAAAAGAGGTAACATTTTTTCCGACGGCAGACCTTTTTCGTACAATGTACCCCGTGTGGCATAATCGACTGGGTTTTAATCAGGTCTGTGCTGTGGCAACATGTTTCACCCGATGAATGCTATACTTCCTGGCAAAGAAACTTAACATATTTCTGGCTGCGTGAGATAAAGCTCCGTCCTGCTGTAACGTCCAGATATGGCGACCACATTATGTCACTTTAATGTTAGGCAGCAAACCTCGTCTGATAACTTGTTCACCAAAATAATACCCCTTTTACTTCAGTAACTGGATCAACGAACTCAGAACTTGTTTTCTCCATTCGAAACACATCAACTAATACCGTTATGACGTGGCTGAAATGTTTACGTCCTCGTGTAAGACTCATTTCTGAAACTTGTCTTTTCTTTGACTGAAATGAATAATCGCGAAGATTTTGAGAATTAATTGGCGTGCAGCAACGGTGAATATCTTTTCGTACCCAAACCAAATGCTATGTACACTTCTCTCATTGGGAAACCGTTATACGTCTTAGGTTGTAAATCTTATTCAACAATACGTTTCAACGACGACCGTTGTTTACGCGTTTCTCTTTCATCGTTCCACGGACTGTTGTGACTGTTAGGGTTATCCTCTTGACTGCAGATCAGCTCACTTACCCGCTCAAAGCTCTGTCGTGTTTTAGCAGACTTTGGACGGAAACTTCCAGGTTTATTTTATGATGTACCTCGTCATTGTCAATTTTTCAAATTAACCAAATGACATGAGCCATGTCCCAGTCTTTGTTTAGAAACTTATTTATTTCTCACTTACTAGCCTAGCACACAAATTGTTTTTCAATTCGCAATTTTTTAATCAGATAAGGGTTTTCAGTTGAGATTTCTGCCTTTCTTGTTTCAAGTATTTTCAAAACACGCATTGTTTTACAAATTAAAAAATAAAGACGGCAACCCGAAACAATCTTAATGGTGAGAAATAACATATAGTTTTAAAAAGTACCTAAGTAAATAAATAAGCAATTTAATTTTTATGGATACAGTCAAACAAACGTTGATGTAATTATATTTCATTTTAAGACGATTTATTACTTTTTTACCACTATTAAATTGTAATATTAACTTTGTACAAAATCTTTTTACAAATATTTTTCAATCCAAACTAGTATATTTTGAATTATTTTTTCACATTTTTACAAAATTTACATAAATTTTTAATGTGTACATAAAATTTCTTTACAAATATTTCATAAATTAGCAAACACACTGAAAAAAAAACAATAACACAAAATCAATTTAGATATAGTATTTTATTAAAAAATAATTAATAAATAGGCAATAAATTTAATTGTTAAGATTATTTTTTGACAAAAAAAATAAATAAATACAATATTTCTCTGTATATGAGTGTAGTTATTTTCAGCTTATATGAGTGTAGTTATTTTCAGCTTTGTGGAATGTTAAAGAAAACCCCAGATGTATGTTAGCTGATAAAAGAAATGATACAAAACACCAATGTCATATAAAAAAATTATTAAAGTAAATATAAAACACATCTATAAAAAGTCATAAGAATGAAGTAACAATCTGAAAACACGCTTCTTTTCACTAAAATAATTAATGCTAAAACTCCCACATCTTTTCACTGTTAGCCATGTTGACAGATGGATCTTCAGTACTGTTATAGTGGTGCATAATGTAGATATAATTATCAAAACCCTTGCATAGCATAAAAAACCCACCACATAATGTTATTTTTAAAGCTATTTGTCATTCATAATCTACTATTAGAGTCATTGTGAAAAGACCATTTCCAACAATCTATTAAATATTGTCCTGCTTGCAAAAAAGATTTACAATGATCGTGACTATTTTTCGTTAGAAAAATTTTATAATTCCAAATAATTAAAAAAACTACTGAAAAATACATCATGATTATTTTAAACATCAGAACAATGCAGGGGCTGCATCTTAAACTATGGAAAATGATGAAACTATGTGCGAAGAATGGGTGTATCATAATATAACATTTCAAAGTACGGTTTTTAATCCATCCTTGAGTTAAACATGTTTTTATTATGTGGCTTTTTTAAACCTGGAAACTTTTCACTGATTTAAATGTCTAAAAATTGTTAAATTTGAATTTTTAAAGCAAGTTTTTTGTGTGTTGTAATTAATCAAAATACAATGCACATTTTTCTTATACAAACTTGGAAATAACTTATAATGAGTATTTCAAATGTACACAATTGTTTTTATGTGGCATAAGTGAGTTTGTTAATACAATTAAAGAAATATAATAATGATAGAATGTTTGAATAAATTAAAATGAGTAATTTTTTTTCAATAAGAGAAAATTTCAATATCAAAACTAAATGAGATTCAATTATTTTATTTAAATGTTATGTTACAACGTCTTATTGGTATGCTCACATAGCTCTATTGAGGCTCAACAATCTGCACTCTCTTAAACGCTTTCTTACAACAGCATGCAATGAAAATTATGACAACACACAGGAGGGCAAATAGAGGCAGTCCAATACTCAAGCCGAGGAGGAGTTTTTGTGATTCTGAAAAGGAAATAGAGAATTAAATATTTAGAGGCAAAAAGATTTTATTAACAGTCATGCAAATAAGGTCAACATAATAAATCTTTTATTATATGACACAAGCAATTCTGTCTTATGTGCATATGAAATAATGTAAATATACTGACAAACTAAACTGCTATATTTTCTTGTCATTTAAAAAATCAAACAATTATAATAAACTGCAATTGAATTTTTTTTAAACTAATTTTTTTTTTTTTTACCTAGGGCACTTAAATTCATCAATTTCAACAATAATTAAATTGAACAATTATTTATAAAGCAATTTATATAATGTAACAAACGAAATTAAAATTAAAAGGATATATGCTTTGAAGTTAAAATTTTTTAATTACCTTCATCCTTTTGGACTCTGAAGTAAGAATTTAAAAATCTCATTAAGAAAATAATCTTAGTTTTTTTTTTTCAAAATAAACTATGGAAATACATGTGAAAAAAAACACATCTGTTAAAAAATATATATTCCTTCAAAAAGATAAGAAATTTACATTTGACCTTCCAGAAAGGTGTTCATGTTATTTAATTCACACAGAGGTAAATCACTGGATTGTTAATTTTAGAGAAATGTCTTAATATACTCTTGCGGGGAGGGTGGTAATCGCAGGACCTGATTATAACATTTTTTAAAATCATTGAAATGGATACTGACAACTGATACAGCAAATGGCTGACTAATTCTTCTGCTATGCTAAAGCATTTGTACTATGAACCAACTAAAGTTGGTTCATAGTACAAATGGAAATCAGCTTAACGCAAGTTGACTAACCTGCACACAGCTTCTTCTCCTTCATTTTTACATGTCTCTGAAGCTGCACATGGATCGAGCTTACTTTTTATGTTACATGGTGTGTCGTTCTTTAGTACTTAATAAATAAAGATACAAAGGATGTTAGGTTGAATCAAAGTTCAATTTAAAATAAGCAAAATGCATTTAATGTCAATATATTTGCTTATTAATGATATGTTCATATTAAATATATTATCACTTCATATAATATAATATTTCACATATTATATGATATTTTGTGAAATATTCCATGAGATGAGGTAATAATATTAAACTACCAATCCATTATTACTTAGTTAGTTCTCAATTCTCAATTAAATTATTTACGAAATTTACTCAGGTACTTCATGCTTTTTATAAATGTAGGTAAAATATTTTTAAAAGAATCCTACACAGCAAAATTAATATAAGTAAATAAAAAAATTGATGCTCACTTTCTACACCACTTATTATGAGATGTAATATATTGCCATTTGTGTTGTTTATAGTGATGCCAATTCCATTTTTCAAAATTTCCACGAACACCATGGCTATCTTCATTTCACTAGCCTTGTCAGTTGTGTTATTGGTTGCCATGGTGATATCAGTATAAATGATGAGGCTTCCTTGTCTGAGGATCAGATAAGTAGATTTAAAAGTATTTTGTAATATCTTAAAATAATCCAAAATTGTTTGTTCCAAACATATGTCAGCCAAAGTTTGGAATTATAATTAAAAAAAATATTGTACCTTAGATTCATTATAGTCACTGAAATTACAGCTGCCTCCTTTTTCAAACTTTCTAGCAACTGAAACATAAACATTTTAAAAATTAAATGATTGTGGGATTTTTTTTTTTAGTATTAAAAAAGCATGTGAAGTAAATATTGAGCTATTCATCAAATGTGATTATTCGTCTTTATCAAAAATAAAAAAATTACATTAGACAGAAATTAAAAATAATAAAATCAGTAATATTTGTGATACTCATTATTTATATTAAATTATATTCATAAAAAGATTAAAAAAGGCTTTCATACCCCTTTTTGTGCTGCATCTGAAAGCTTCAGGTAATTAGCAGAAATTTTGTTTGATATATCAAAGCCTGTCATGTTATAATCTATTGTTATCACTAATGAAACTGTGTGCCTGAATGGAAGATCTTTAGGAAAAAAATCATTATTATCTTTCTGATGAGGTAAGTTTTAAAAATGATTGTACAATTATGACATTGAGATGTTTTTAGATTTGTAAAATATTATGCCATACAAATTAACAAAATAATATCCTATTCCATTTTCCATTTTTTGATGCTAAAAGAATAGTAGGTTAACACAATTAAATTCTTTCAAAACTTAACCAATATTATTTACCTTAAATTAATGCATATAAGGACTTGTGTGAAAACAGTAGTCCATTAGAACATGTATAAGAATAAAGTTTGCTTTTTTACCTTTGAAGAAACCATTGGTAATATTACATTACAAATGCTCTCCATTATAAAAATGTAATAAATTTGTTAGTGTTAAGCTATGCTTAAAAATTCATTGTGTTTTAGTTTTAGAATAATGAAAAGTTTTTTTGTTTTTTTTAAATGGAATATTTTTTCTTTTTAGATTTATAAATATTTCTAACAACTGTTAGCTTTTGTAGTTATTAAAAATTAAAAGAGTAAGAGAAATAATCACTTCTGTATTTGTTAAATAATGTATATACTGCCACTTCACATTTGTCTAAACTCCAAGAAAATATCACTTCAAAAAAAGAAAGGAAATATATGTTTCAATTCAAAATAAGTATACTCAAACTAGATTATTTAGAAAAATATATTATTTATTGAACTGAAAACATTTATTTTATAAATTAATCATGTATCTTGGCCCATACTACAATGAAATTTAAAAAAAAATGCTTAATTTTATAATGCATCATATTGTGACATTACTCTATTTGAAATATAATAACTTAAAGTTCTTAGTCAGATCTATTAAAATCGATAAAGAACAGAAATATCTGGTAAATGGATTCATAAGGTATTAATCTATAATATTCTGCAAAGTCTACTCTATTGGCTTATGTTGCTTATGGTTGAAACGGGATGAAAGTTTTGACTCGATATGCTCATATGTAGTTTTATATTGTTGCGTCTGTTTTTTTAAATGTGGTAAATTTTAGATTGTTTTTATTTCTCTTTTTAATATGGTTGACTTTGTACCGCGCTTCGAGCTTTTGGGGATGAAGCGTGTTTTTCAAATAAACTTTATTATTATTATTATTATTATTGTCACATTGTAATGGATGGCAACCAGAAAGCTAAAATAAAACATACTAACCAGCCAATGAAAACTTCAAATTCTTACCTCCACAAATGTTATCCTTGAGAATGAATCCATCATCACAAACGCAGACATAAGATCCATTTATGTTTACACAGTGAGAATGTTCTTGACATGAAAATAGGTTATCAGCACATTCATCTACATCAGAAGTACAGTTATCTCCATTCCAGCCAGGAAGACACGTACAAGCTCCAATGACATTATCACAAGTTTTGGTATTTGACATTTGACACTTGCAGCTATTGTTACAGTTCTTTCCATATTTTCCTGCAGTGCACACTTAATGGAAATAATTTGTTGGTTAATTATTTAAAAAAAAATAAATAACATAAATTTTATAAGAATTAAATATGATTTCTTCCCATAAAGAATTGATCATAATTGTTTTAATTTTATTTTTTCCTGTGAAAGAATAGACGAAGAAAAAAGTGATATAGTTTTAGAAGGCATTGTTCTATAATTGAAGATACCAACAAGCCACAGAAAACATCAAACTCTTACCTCCACAAATGTTATCCTTTAGAGTGAATCCATCATCACAAACACAGATATAAGATCCATTTGTGTTTACACAGTAAGAATGTTCTTGGCATGAAAATAGGTTATCAGCACATTCATCTTCATCAGTAGTACAGTTCTCTCCCTTCCAGCCAGGGAAACACTTACAAGATCCATTGACATTATCACAAGTCTTCGTGTTTGACATTTGACAAGTGCAGCTAATGTTACAGTTCATTCCATATTTTCCATTAATACACTCTGAATGGAAATTATTTGTTTGTTAACAAATTTTATTTTAAAAAAAGGAAGAATCTTTTGTATTTAAAAAAAAAAAAATTAAACATGATTTCTTCTCACAAAGTTTGTACCAGGAATTGACATTTTTTACAAGTTTTAATTCTTGACAAATGCAATTATTGTTACTTTTCATTCCATATTTTCCACCAATGATATCTGAATTGAACTTAATAATTTGTTAATAAATTTTAAAAGATAAATAAGATATATATTTTTTAAGACTTAAACATGTTTCTTTCCATAAAGTATTAATGAAAATTGTTTTCATCTTTGTTTCTTGTAAAAGAATGGACAAAGAAAAAAGTGATATTATAAATAGTTTCAGAAGGCATTAACCTATCATAGAAGATAACAACAAGACAAAGAAAACATCCAATTCTTACCTGCACACACATTTCCATTCTGAATAAAACCATCATTACAAGCACAGACATACGACCCATTTGTATTAAGACAGTAAGAATGCTCTTGACATGAAACATTTTCATCAGCACATTCATCGACATCAATAGTACAGTTCTCTCCCTTCCAGCCGTTAAGACATGTGCAGGCTCCATTGACATTGTCACAAGTTTTGGTGTTTGACATTTGACAATTGCAGCTATTGTTACAGTTCATTCCATATTTTCCATCAGTGCACTCTGGATGTAAATTATTAGTTTATGAACACACAAAAATAATTATATATATTATATATATATGCATATTTAAAAAGAATTAAGCAAGATTTTCGTTTCCCCCACATAATTTGGCACAATAAGCCATAGATTATTTTGTTGTTTTTTTACCTAAGGCACAGCTCATTATAATGATTTGAAAATTTGTTTTTCCTCAAATGGAACATAATACCACTGTAGGCTTAATAAATGTCTCTTTACCTGTGCAAGTGAGTCCATCAGCTTCTAAATATTTACCAATGTTACATAAACATTCAAAGCTGGTGTTTTCTTTTGTTTCAACACAACCTTCAGTACATGAGCTAAGCTGACACAAATCTATGTCTAGAAGACATTTTTTTTTAAAGTTAAAATTTTAAAGGATACAATAATTAAACATTCTATAGATATTATATATATATATATATATATATATATATATAAAAACTAAATTTTCCTTAGTTTTTTCAAAACTGAAAACTAAAATGAAAATGTGATACTTATATCTATTTAACAATCTATAAAATAATTTAATATCATTAAGCATTCCAAATTCGTACCTGCACACACAGTTCCATTCTGAATAAAACCATCATTACAAGCACAGACATACGATCCATTTGTATTAAGACAGTCAGAATTTTCTTGACATGAAACATTGTCATCAGCACATTCATCGACATCAATAGTACAGTTCTCTCCCTCCCAGCCATTAAGACATGTGCAGGCTCCATTGACATTGTCACAAGTTTTGGTGTTTGACATTTGACAATTGCAGCTATTGTTACAGTTCATTCCATATTTTCCATCAGTGCACTCTAAATTGGAAATTATTTCTTGGTTAATATTTTTTTAAATATAAATTTAACTATATATATATATATATATATATATATATATATATATATATATATATATAAAATAATAAAACATTAATTTTACCCCCAATTAAAGGTAATGAGCCATCAACTATTTTGCTGTTTTTTTTACCTAAGGCAGAGTTGATTATAATTATTTGGAATGATTTTTTCCTCAAAAGGAATGTAACACTACTGTATGCTTGAAATTATCTATTTACCTGTACAAGTGGATCCATCAGCTTCTAAATATTTACCAATGTTACATAAACATTCAAAGCTGGTGTTATTTCTTGTTTCAACACAACCTTCAGTACATGAACTGAGCTTACACAAATCTAAGTCTGGAAGAAATTTTTTTAAAGATACATTAAATATAAAAACCATAATTAAACAATACCTATAGATTTTGAGATATTAAATAAATATCATTGGTCTTCATATGATAGGCCAACATAACAATTTATAACTAAAATTAAAATGTGATACTGATATATATTTAACAAACTAGAAAATTATTCACTAGAAATAATTATGCCAAATCTTTACCTGCACACACATTTCCGTCCTGAATAAAACCATCATTACAAACACAGAAATAAGATCCATTTGTATTAAGACAGTCAGAATTTTCTTGACATGAAACATTGTCATCAGCACATTCATTGACATCAATAGTACAGTTCTCTCCCTTCCAGCCAGGAAGACAATTGCATGATCCATTGACTTTATCACAAGTTTTGGTATTTGACATTTGACAGGTGCAACAATTGTTACAGTTCATACCATACTTTCCACCAATGCACTCTAGAGTGAAATAATATATATGTAATTAATTATATGTTTGCATTAAGTAAAGAAAGACAATAAATAGATTCACTTAAAAATAATGAATAAATTTTTACATCTTGACCTCTTCCTACTAAATAACATCCTATGAGCTAAATAAACTTAGTTCGATTCTTTTCATTGGTCAGCTTAACATATTAACCTATTTTCTTTTTTTTTTATAACTATAAAAAATGTATAAGAAATCATGCATTATTAAGGATTTAATATCTTCTTTTACCTGTACAGGTTATTCCATCCGCTGCCAAGAATTTACCAACATTGCAAGAACATTCAAAAGTTTTATTTTCCTTCGTTTCAACACATCCTTCAGAACATGGGGTATTCTTGCACAAATCCAAGTCTACATGAAATTTTGTAAAAATGATTTTCTATATTATTTGCACATCTAAGCAACTGATTATCTCAGATAATAAAAATTGTAAATAGATGAGCAGCAATATTTAAATGTAAATTGTTGGCACAAAATTATTCTATTTGAATATTTTTAAAGCAACACTTATCAAGAGCCCACTTGCAAAAGGTACTAAGTCCAACCAAACTCATTTTTCAGGAAAGTGGAATTTGTGTTACAACTTAACTAGCCTTTTTAAGGTTGTTCTACATTTTCCATTTAAAATAAAGGCATTTAGAGCCTTCTGAAAGTTAAGATGAGAGATTCAAAATGTGTATTTAAGGCAATAGCTTAAGAAAAGAGCACTAAGTCATTTTTTTCAAAAAACGAACTTAGTACCATTTGCAAGTAGGCTCCTCACTTAAGGCCCCTTGCCCAGTGACAGATGGCAAGATTAAATAATGAGCTAATACAGTGAATACTTTTTAAGGTAATTTTCTTTTAAAAATGTATCTACAATAACAGTTACATTGAATTTTTTTACAACATAAGTTAATTTGGTACAACACTTAAACATGTATATAAAAGTGATATATCAGTTTTCTAAAGTTATATTTAGAGCATTGATTAAGCGATTTTAAGTTTTTTTTCCAGGAAATAGCTGAATTTTGTTTAAATGGCATAATGTACCACATGAGAATCAAAATAAAATGGTGTAAAACTAATTAAGTGATCATAAAGTTTATTTTCTTTGATCAGATTTGTCCACCACGCAATCCACCATTTTAGAAGCCATTTACCATCACATGAAGTGTTGTCCATGGATAGTGTTTTGCCTTTCCCACATAAACATGTATCAAGGCTGTTAATTTTGGCACATTTTTCAGTGCAAAAGATTGATGTGGTACATGGAGTTTCAGCTGAGAAAAAAATAGAAAAACACTTTGATTTCATAAATTGAATAATTATATTAAGACATTTCATGCCTACTTTAAATAACAAAAAATATTTGAATAGGTTAAAAAATAAATAGATACAATACTTTATAAAATCTATGTTAAAGTATAGGCCTATGTCATTATGCTAAGAGTTTACTAATTTTACTGCTATTTTAAACAGACTATAAGTTTTTCATTTCATAAATACAAAATTTAAATTTGAGGTCTAAAATGTAGTATTAGAGATGATGATTAAAGCAGTCTGAAATGCTTATGCTAGAACAAGTGAAATAAACTATAAAGTAAGACTTTTCTAAAAACTATCATAAAAATTGATACAATAATTTTTAATGCAGTAGTATTAAATTATGTTAACATTTTTAATGAAATTAAGAAAAAATAAAAGTAATAAGTTTTTTGTTGTAATGCAATAAATCATTTTGTTTTCAATAGACAATTCCAAATAATATTTATTATTTATTTCACAGGTAAAATAATAGTTTATGATTGCATTAAATCAGGAATCAAAAGCTATTAAAATAATGTGGATTTTGCTTTAGTACACATCAATACCACACAAATCTTAACATGTGAAGCTGCCTATCAATGATCAAATTATCAATTAATGAACAGTAGTTTGTAACTTTAAAGGGAAATAATCAAGGCAAACTCCAAGTTTAAATGAGCTTAGTCAAACTTGAACTTGCAACCAAAATTAGACCATTATGTAAAACAGAATAAAACTAACCACCACATGAAACACCATCCAGTTGTAGGACAAGTTCTTCTGAACATGAACAACGATAGCTCCCATCAGTGTTAGTGCAGATTTGGTCACATAGATGTTTCCCTAATTGGCATTCATTTACGTCTGTTAAGAATTAATATAAAAAGAATAATGTCTTAAATAAGGGTAGACTTTTAAGGTATGAATTTATTTGTTTTGTCTTACATCACTTGTTAATCTTTATGAATATTTAGATGATGAGTTGCATTAAGATTAACATAGAATTTCCTATATGATATCTAATTTAATGCCTTGTTATTTAGGTTTATTCTCATGACATAAGGTTACAATAAACTCAGACTTATTCCATTAAATAAAATAAAAATAATATGCATAGTTTAGTGGTCTTACTTTACAATGAACACAAACATGTATTGCCCAACAGAAATAAAGCCTCAGCACTGTGTTTTTTAAAATATTTAAAGAAGGGTTGTAGATTTTTTAAAGGTCCATTTATAATAATTATTGCATGGTTTGTCCTTCAATCACTAAAACAATATTGCAACCGTCTATGCTAAATTTTAATATTTTTAATATTATATTTTTTTACTGCCATAAATAATAAATAGAATTTGCATATTAGGGAAAAGTGTAAACTTCCATATGTTCACTTCTTGCAAGGAACAATTAGCCCTACCAACTATTTTAAATTTTCAGGTATATATAGCAATATAGCAGTTAGCTTAATAAGTAAAACATACATTTTATTAAATTATCTTATAAGAAGACAAAAACACATACTTAAAAAGATATTTTTCACTAAATTGACACAAGAATGAAGGAATTTTATAAAATATTGAATAAAACAAATTGACATAATTTTATGAAATAAAATTAGTTTAATACATTTTAAAATAGAAAAAACAACATTACCGAAACAAGTATTGCTAGTGGTGTTGAAAGTAAAGCCAGAATAGCAGGAACAACTATAGGAACCCTCTGTGTTTGTGCATGTTTGAGAACAATCGTTGTTTTTAGAGCACTCATTGATATCTGAGAAAAATGCCATGTTAAGAATTAAAATATTTCTGTGATGAAACAGTTAAAGTAATTATAATGTAACTACTATTTCTAATAACTAAGGGAACAAAATTAAAAAACCTACCAAGGCAGTGACCAAAACCATCATACTCATAGCCAGACTGACATTCACATTTGGCACTCCCATGTAAGTTGATACAAACTTCCCTCTCCTTACAGATCAAAGTTCCACTGGTGCATTCATTGATGTCAATGTTGCAGTTATCTCCTGATTGATGTTAAGAATGTTAAAAGTAGTTTTGATTTCTCAAGATAAAATATTTAAATGGGATAAATTAAAAAATACAAAAATTATAAACTATTACCAAGAAACTAAATAAAATAATAAGGATTTTTTCAAACTGACCCATGTATCCAGATTTACAAACACAACCCTTGATAGGATCACATCTTCTAGCTCCTATACCACAGGTACAGCTATGGGAACATCCAACACTCCATGTGTCTCCAGAACATGCTAAGAGAAAAATAAAACAAGTATTGCTTATCATAACTTAAATAAAATAAAACCTATTAAAGTTATAATTGTTAATGATTTTCATTAAAATTTCAAAATGCCTATACTTTGTGTTTTATTGTTTATGTTTATTTTACAAGACAAAACTTTTAGGGAGAAATATAAATTGAGTTTAAGAAAGAGCAGAGAATTCAAGTATAAATAATACTAACCTAGACAATTTCGACCATTGTTATCCAGCTTGAAACCAGCAGGACACGAACAAGTGTAGCCACCATCCGTGTTAATACATCCAGGTTTGTGGGAACAGCTGTTATTCTCAGCTGAGGTACACTCGTTGATATCTGTTAAAATAGGAAATAAATATATTATCATTATTATCTTGCATGAAGCATGGTGTCACAGTCAGGTCATGTGATGTCGTACTGTGTCTAATTTTGGTGCTGTATGAGTTGGCAATAGTTCTTTTTCTTTAGTTACTTCCCCTTAAATCCCACTAATTGTATTCAGCCATGAATAAGGTATGAGCTATGACTGATGACTGTGGTGGTGTGTTGAAAAAAAACATGCGAAGAAAAGTAGTGTGTACTTATTGTAGTGAGGAAAAAGGAGCCATTTTTAAGGAGTGAGTTATTCGATTGTTGAGCTGAGTACATCGTTATATGGTGAACGTGGGTTTCCTTTCTTCTATTCTGGATGCCATTTGACATTATGGTGTGTTTAACAGGGTAAATAAATTATAAAAGAATACTGATTATTTAGACCATCTCCTGATTTTTTTAATTGGAACTTGTTTACTACACATCAGACTTGTGGGGCTAGGATTCTATATTCTGAAATTGTTTCTGCAGCCCCACTAAGGGAACCTGCTCCTAGATGACAATCCGCCACAAAAAGGCCTACTCGAGAAATTGATAATGCTGCAATATTTGCCATTCAATTTTTCTAAAAAATTCATGCTTTAATATTTATTTATTGAGAAAGCTACATTTTAAAAATATTCATTTGTTTTTTATTGGTTTACCCTTTCATTTTAAAAAAGTTTCAACAAAGGTAGGATTGCAGTCTTGTAATAAAAAGCACAATTTTTTGCAATCGCCATTACAAACGTTTAAAAATAGAAATGATTTTTTAAAATATTTTCCAAAAATTGTTTTTTCATTTTTTTCTTTAAATTACTACAATAACTTCTTTCAAAATCTAATTGTAGGGCCTATATAATTTTGAATTTTATTCTTTTGGCTTCTTTAAAACTATAGCACCATCAAACCCTACAATTGCTGTAATTGAGTGTATATTATATAATTTTGAATAAAGCAGTAAGCATGTACTTACCCAAACAGGTTACATTTCCATTTTCAATTGAGCTGTTATATCCACGTGGACAAATACAGAATGGTTTATCCTCATTATCCAAAGTACATCCATTTGTACAATTCATGTTGGATGCTTTACAAAGGTCTTGGACTTTAAAACATTATGTCATATTATTGCAGTTGTGTTGTAAAAACAAATATTATAATTGGTTTCTTAAAAAATTATATTTGAAATATACATCATAATAGAATATTTTAAGGAGTTATATAACCCAGAAATTTGTTAATGTGGTAAAGTAACCATTTTCAAACCACTGCCATTATAATTGTAAATGATCTGACCTAAATTGTTACTATAAAAGACTACTTATAAATTAATGTTTGCTAAGCATTTCATAAGAATGATAAAATATGTATCATACAATTTTTATACTTACCATTAATACAGTTTTGTCTGTTGTCAGCCAGGAGGTAGCCAGCCTCACATTCACAGTTGTAGCCCCCATCAACATTATGACATAAATGTTGACAATTGTCAATATGTTGGGTGCATTCATCAATATCTGTAGTGAAGGAAAATGAGTTAAGAGGCTAAACTAAATGGTTTTTCAATTCCTAATACAAATGGTGATTGTCTGACAATTGAAATATAATTTTTAATGTCATAATTTTTAGTGATTTTTTTATTAAAAATTGTATCAATAATGACTTAGATGTGGAGAAATAAACATTAAAGATAAATGACAACCATATCTTTAGAAAACTTTTTAATATTAATAAGGCTAAATAAAATATAAAACAAATTAATTAAATTTATGTCTTTAATATAAAAAAATATCTTAGTCATCCTGTACCCATATGTTTATTTATTATTTTTTATCTCATCACAAAGATTTTAATGTGTTATGTGTGAAGATCTTTTATAATTGAGTTAAAAACATAGATCTAACACATGCGTTTTTTTGTTTTCTAATTTTTTTTCTTTTCTGATATTGTCAGCTGAAAAAGGCATCTAGCCAAAAGATCCATTTAATGGTCCTGTCTTTTCATTTGAAACCTAAACTTATCTTTTTTCATTATTTCCTTCTCACAGATTGAACACTGTCCCTTATATATTATACTGTATAAGTAAATTTTACTGTAATAATCTCTTGTTGAAGTTAAGTATTCCATTTTTTAAATACCAAAGCTTTACATAATTTGCACAGCCAAATAATATATTTAAATTTAGAAAACTGGTGACCCTCTTCTGACTGGAATTTGATTTTAAATAAATTTAATTTTATTTCATTTAAACACTAACCTTGACACATAAATTTGTTATCTCTGGCATAGCCATGTTTACACTCACACCTGTAACTACCAACTGTGTTGATACAAACTTCTGTTTGTAAGTTACATGTCCCATTGGTTAGAAGGCTAAAACACTCATCAACATCTACAGAGATTTATGCAAACAAGCAGTTTCAAAATTGAAGACTATTTAATATGTAATAATGAAATTTTTATAATAATAGGACTAATAAAAGACTGCTGTTATGTTCTTTGTCAAAATTGATGCGTCTTACACATTGTTTGTTTCATATGGATACTTTGATTGCATCATTTATATATATCAATAAATCATTCACATTAAGTAAAAATATTGTAAATTTAGTAGTTTGAACTAAACAAACAGTTAGGTAAAGAAATTATTGTGTTGAATAAAATATTGAAAACAATAGTTATACATTCTTAAAAAAACTCTTAAATTAATTATTTTTAATTTTCACTGTGAAAATAAATATTCTTAAAATTTACTTATAAAATAAATTGCTGTCAAAGCTACACACCTTTGCAGAAACCTCCTTCCATGATATAGCCTATTGGACAAGAACAAGTAAATGATCCATTTGTGTTCTCACAAAGTTGCCCTTCAGGACAGGCATCTGGTAAGGCACATTCATCAACATCTATGTCACAGTTGACCCCTGTCCAGTTCACATCACAAACACATCCTTTCACTGTGTTACATGATCCTCTACCATTACAGTCACAGGTTTGTTTGCAATTATCTCCATAAAAGGGAACTTCACAAGCTGAAATGCAAAATTATATAACATATAATCTTAACTGCTTAGCCTAACAAAACAAACATAAAATCTTACTAACTAGGCTTGTGATGAGTAAATTTTTAGTGAATCTGTAAAATAACTCATAAAAATGTCTGAATCCAGAAAAGATTAAATTTTCCTCCCCAATAACACCAGAAGGCCTAAAGATGGACATTTTACTAAGGAGTTAAATTGTACATAAATTAAAATAACTCAGGAGAGCTCAATGTAAAGCAACAGATACCTTTACAAGAAACCGTGTCGGACTCCATCATGTAGCCAGGGTAACAGTAACAATTAAAGTATCCTTCAGTATTGTTACACCCCTGGGTACATGGCATGTTATCAAGTTTACACTCATCAATATCTGTGAAGATAAGTCATTTATAACAATTACTTCTAACATCAAATAGGGAATTTTCAGGAAATTATTAGAAAATAGCTAATATAACTTTTTGAGAACTGAATGGTTAGTTGAAATTATTTATTTAACATAAGTTATAATTTGTATTTTTTAAAAACCACAATCAATTTATTTATTATGCATTAATGAGCCTCTGTATCTAATTTTTGTGTGTGTATAAAATCATATTTGAGATTATGTAAATTAGTTTCTAGCTGGTGTATCAGTTTTGTAAGCCTAAAAATCTATATTCAAACAAGTCAATTCATCTATAGGGCCTACTTTTAAAATGAAATTTAGTTGCTCACCTTTTAAAAAAAAAATCTAGCTCATTTATAATGTTTTATTAAATTAAAAAGGGACCGATTATATGCATACCTTTACATTCAGCATCATTTTGTTCATCTTGCAAATATCCCTTATCACATGTGCAGATAGCAGAGTTATTTATCTTATTAAATATACAAGTGTGTTGACACTGGGAACATTTCTGTAATCCAGAAACTAAAAGAAAATATATATTAAAAGCAATAAATAACATTTTTATCTTAAAAAATTATCAAATATTGTTTAAATTTTTTAAATGTCATGAACTCTCTGAAAAATTATCTATACTATTATAATGAACTAAAAAATTTGATATTAATTTATCAAAAGGTGTAACAGAAAAATTAAAATTTACATGGAAAAGCAATAATTTAATGAAAGTTTTTTTTATATATATTAATTAAAAAGCTTCCCACTGTTAAACTCTTTTATTGTAAAAATTAATATGATACTCGGTTCTGTCATTAACTAGTTTATAAGTCAATATAAATTATAAAGTAGTAAATATGAAATGTTATAACTTATTTATCTCTCTCATTATAGTTTTAAAATTAACAATAATGTTTATAACTTTTGTATTATGGAAATTGTTTTTGAGAAGAGTCATTACTTGGTAGTTCACAACTATAGCCATTAGATTTGAGTATATAGCCTTCCAAACAGGAACAGATGTAGCTGCCTTCTGTGTTCTTACATTTGTGCTGACATCGGGCTGTCTGTTCTTCACATTCATTGATGTCTGAAGCAAGATAAATAATTCTAATTTTGTAATGTTATCAACAAAATATCTTACTTTTTTATCAAATGATAAAAGTAAATTTTTTAAAAAGCTCTCAATAACAAAACATAGAAAAGATTACCTTTATTTTTTAAACAATTATTAATTGTTAATAAATTCAACAAATCCAGTAATAAAATACTTTTACATTACCTTTGCAAGTTTTCTGGTCAGACAGATCAAGTCTATAACCATCTCCACAGCTACACTGGTAGGACCCAATGGTATTGGTACAATTATGTTGACATTCACTGATATTGTTTGTACATTCATCAATATCTGGGACATTTAATTAAATTTGTCAATACAAGATATTTCCCATAGAATGTGGTTGAATGAAGCCTATCAAAATATTTACTGTCTTAAAATAACACATTATAAATAGTTTTTTATTTCAATTTTTTACATCAATTATGGTTTTACATTCTGAATGGGAAAGATTACATCTATTTGTATATTTAAAGACAGTTTTAAGTCCCACACCAAGTTGGTTACGTTTTGTCAATTTAGCCGGCTGAGGTGCTAAATAAAAGGAATATTTTATTGCCGAGAATATCTTTCATATTTTATAAAAAAAGGCACTACAAGTAAGGTTACCATTGCACCAAATAGCAGACAAGATAAATCATAAAAAGAAACTACCTTGCTATTTTTATTTTTAAAAAATTATTAAATGTTTACAATGAAAGAACTCTGCTCACCAATACAATTTTCTGTAGCATTCGATGCAATATATCCATCAGGACAAGTACCACACACATATCCTATGAGATTATTCCCTTGTTGAGCTGCTGTCAGATCTGTACATTCCTGATCTACAGAACATGGTTTACTTGCACAGGCATCCAACTCTGACTCACAATCAGCACCTATAAGTTGTTTAACATTCTTTTAAGTATTTATGATTTTACATATTTATTGCATCTAAATACAAAACATAATTATATATAATGAACAAACACACACACAATAAAAAAATATTTTTGGATGTGAACTTTGGTATGAAGCTATGGTGTAAAATGTTCAGATCTATATGAATTATTTTAGGTTACAAAACCATTCCTTGTTCCAGCAACAAAAAAAACAAAAAATACTGCATTTTACAAAATGTCATTAATATTTCATTAAAAATATAATCTCTGAGTTACTGATTCCACCTAAAATTTAAGAATAAATTATGTGTGATGTTTAACACTACCTTTAATGTATACAGAATGTAACATTACCTGTATAGGCTGGGTAACAGCTACATTCAAATATCTGAAAATATCCATTATTGTATTCAATGTCTCTTGTGATGTTGGTACACATTCCATGTCCATTACAGCTAGTACAAACAGCAATGTATACATATACAATAGGGCTGTAAGCACCTTTGGAGTCCTTAGCTCTTAGTCTATAGATAGAGAAGTTTTTAAAATTATATATTTGTCTATAAACCTTCATAAACATTTACACAAATAAAATTAAACCATTATTTTTATTGTACTTTAATATCGTTAAAAATAATCGTTTAATATCGCTCCTTTTAAAAAAAAAATCAAATGATTCTGTTAAGTACAACATTTTCTATATCACCTTACTAAAATGTGTATTGTTATTTTCTTCAATAAGCTTTAGTTTAGCTATATAATTTAAATTCTCATCCTTAAATTATCACATTGTCACAGAAATGTAAGGCTTTTCTATTTCCAGCTCCCTTTCCAAATGAGCAAAGAAACTATTTTAAGTTCAAGCTAAACTAAATAAACTGAAAGTGTTAAACTTAACACATTAAATAGGTTTTTAACAGATTAAATTTATTTATTATCATCTCCAATTTCAATATTTAAGTATTAACATTTGTTATATGAAAATTTTGGCTTCAAAATTTCTTAAATGAGATTAGTTATCTTTTGAGAAAACAAGGATTTGTTACACATATATAATTTTTAACCCCAACACAACTGACTGTACTGATACTGTCCACATTCAGCTATCTTTATTTATTCATGCAAATTAAAGATGTAAATTTTTAAAAAAAAATCTTCATATAATTTGAGATGTTAAATTCAAATGTTAATGTAGAGAAAAATAAAGTCCAAGAATTTTAAGAAAAGAGTGGGTAAGACTGGTGCAGCATCTTTGAGTGACCCTGAATAATTTTTACATAATTGGGAGCTCACTAAAAATGTAACTAAAGAATTTAGTAATGATTTTATGCCTTTACCGGGAATATTAATGCTTTAAGAAAGTACAAAATGCTGGTGTGAATCGGGGTGAGATAGAGTTTAAATTTTGACTTTGAAAGTAATTAAAGACAACCAGTTAATCAACTCTCACACAACATTTTTGAAACATCTGTGTCAAAATTGTTATTTTAAAGTCATACATTAGTAACATTCCTATTTTTAGGATTTCAAATAAGTTTATACTTTTTTGATTTTTCAAAGCCATATTTTCTGATAAAGTTAATAGTCTTCAGTAATAAACTACATGTTTTTTCAATAAACATTTGTAAAAAGAATTCACACACACAAGCTTTATTGTCAAGAAAACAATATAGCAACTGCTCATTTCTGCCAAAGACATTCAGGGACTGGAACAAGCTTCAAAAAGGAACAGTTTGTGTGACAACATTTGACACATTTGCGTCTATTGTCTCAGGTCATCTAAACCCCAGTTCATGATACCCTCGATGAGTGCCATTGCAACCACTGAAATATCATCTTTAATACCAGGCACATAAACATTGCAAATCCCTTTTAGATACATAAGATCCAGAATTTTCAATACATTGTGGGCCCTTAATTTATAGAAGAAGAAGAATTTTATTTAATTACAAAAGCTTCAATTTCTTCTTATTAAATTAAATTAACTTTTTAAACGTTTATGAATACGAGATATATTAAAGCTTGATGCAGGCAGAACAAAAAGAAACATCACTTTGGTTAAAATCCTTTCAAAGTATAAATAAAATTAGTGTTAGACATTTTATTTGACTAATATGCCTACTGACTCATATAATACCAATACTATATAGTCTCATACTTGAGATATTAACCAAAATGCTATTAAAATTGTATCAAAAGTTCTCAATTGCTATTTACATTTATAAAATATTTTCAGATAAATATTTTCAAATATGAGTTAAATTGAAAACATCTTTTGTTAATTCATTGTGTAAGATAAACTATATCACTACAAACAATTGTATAATGTATATTTCTCACCCAAGTTTTATAGGCAAACTTGAATTAGCCATGTAAATGATACTCTGATCATTCACAATTGCTCCTGTAGGATTATCTAGCATCTCAACAAAGACAAAATCACCATCAACATCGTCTGTGACAACTTCAAGTGTGTTTTGAACTCCTTCATTGACAACCCACTGGTCAAATGCATTGAAAGTTGTATTCTTCAGTGACAATGTTGGTGGATTATTGTCTACAGAAGGAGAATGGTATTTCGAAAAACAATGTTAATTTAAAATATTTAAATACAAATTAAAAGAATTATGTAAATCATAAAACTTGTTTTTAAAAATATGTAAGACAATATGGTTTGATTGAAAATAAACATATTATTATATCAAACCAGAAAACCAAACACTATTAAACATTTTTGTTAAAAGTGTACAATTTACTTTATTTTACTTTTGTAAAATATTGGCTTTCATTTATAGAGTTTGAATTGGCTTCTTTAGCCTTTATTAAGTCATAAAAAGGTATATACTCTTAGCCAAAAGAAGCTAGCATCACTTTAATTTAAATTATGATACAATATAAACAGGTGATAAAAAATTAGATAATCTACATAAAGTTGATTATTTAGCTTTGATGAATTAAATTATAAAGATACCTAAAAACATATTTATGTTTTTAAAGTAAATATGATAAAGTATGTGTTATCTTTTAAAATCCATAGAAAACTTACTTAAATTTGTGACAAGAGATTTCAATTTGAGGACAGACTCATTAGTGCTTAGAGCGAATTCCTCATTTCCAGTTGCTATGTAATCAAGGACACAAGCTGAGCTATTAATGCCACAGAATTTTTCTGCCTCAGCAACCATGTAAGGGGGAGCCTCGTCTCCAAATACAGGAACAAAGTCTGAGTGCTGATAAGTACTGGTGTTCTCTCTCTTTCCATAAATGAAAACAGTGTTGTCTGAAGTTACTTTCCCTATTTATCATGATTGTTCAAAAAGCTCAATTATAAATGTTTACAAAAAAGATAATACTAAAAGAACTTATTTTTTTGTTTTGGAAAATGTGATATAGCAAATTATAAAATTTAAAAAAAAATTATATGATTTTATTTCTTTTTTCTCAATTTAGTTCTTTCTAAAAATTAAATTTTAGCTGGCATACATTCTTGTCCAAAAGAGTGAAAAATATCTCTTTCTGACATATTGCTTGGCAGGACAACTCCATTAGGAAGGGTAAATTCATCTGACATTTCCAGGTTAAAATTCCCTAATAGACCCAAAGTTTTATTTTGCAGGTTCTTGTCAATTTCAAACTCAATATTCAAGCTTTTCACTGCAACATATATTTTTATAGTGACACCTGGGGAAATAAGAATGTATGTAAAGAATTAAAATAAAATTTTGGGTTATAATATATAGTTATAATGTCAATAAATTGATGATATAATGATAATGTGTAAATCATGAAATATGTGCAAAGCTAGTTGTAAAATTGGAAAAGTAAAATGAAAAAAATCAAAGCATCTATGTTAAACAATAAATACTGTATTGTACTTACCAGATGGGAATGTTGCAATTACTAATGTCCTATTAGAACTGTCTTTCCTTGTGACACTTATTTGGTCAAGTTCTGTATTAAAATCTTTATCCTTGTAAAAACCATTGGTGATATCCATATCATTCACATAGATGACAAAGGCTGTATAGACATTTTAACAAATTATTTGCACTATTTGTTAAAGTTTCAAGAACATATTTTATTTTTTGAATCATTCATATATAAAACTGAGCTTTACATTTATTAGCATAAAATAAATGATGACAATATACAATAAAAGTAAAATTAAAACAGAATAAAAACTAATTAAATAAAATTTATCTGGAAATATCTTAAAAAATTCATTAAAAAAAATTTCATCACCTATCTCTGTAAAATATATGTTTATTAGAAATGATCAGCTTACTTATATTGTTGGTTGCCAGTTCAACTTGAAATTTAGCATAGTCCCCTTCTTTGGCAGCAAATGCAGTGAACACAGTAGCGTTGGTTAGCGTTCCATTGATACCCTCAATTCTGTTTGTTCTACACTGATGTTGAAAATTGTTAGGAAAATTGAATTGAATAATAAATTAATTTATCATTTCTTTTAAATTGAAAAAAACGTATAAGTTGTGTAAAAAAAAATTTAAAATAATATCAAATCAAATTAAAGTTTGCAGTATTATAGAACAGTAGGCTATACATTATATTGTTAACTCATTCCCTCCGGCAGCGCTGCTTCCGGACTTAATTTATTTTCCTGAGAAAAGGGAAGCTACTCAGTTTTGAAACTGATTTATATTTTTAAAATATATTTTTAAGTTGCTAAATATTATTTAATGTTAATGAATTAAGAACAAATGCAACAAAAAATGAATAAGGTTTAATATAAATATAACATTAGCGGGGGAAAAATAACGAACAATGGCCAAAAAAATCGATTTTCGGCACCTCGGACGAACACATGGTACATATAGACGCGCCGTACTAAAGCACACGTAGTTTTAAAGTGAAACAAGATAAAAACTTCCGGTTTCTAAATTAAAATCACGCAGAAATCACGCCATAGCCGGAAGTCTCGAGAGGTGCGAGATTTCATTGCTATTTTTAACTAAAAATAAGAGAGGTGTGTCGCTATGCGCCGGGACGCATTTGGACGCATCAGTAGGGACCCCCCGAGGACGCATTTAGTCGCAACCGTCGGGAATGAGTTAAGCTGAAAAAAAATGAATTAAAGAAGAAAATAACCTGCAGTGTAAAATCCTTGGACTTTATTTCCATCAAGATGTATTCACCCCATACATTCAGTGGATAAGTTACTCCATCCAGTGTAGTAATTTGAGGATCACCAAAACCTATGCCTGTTCAGGAGTTAATATTTAATTAAAATACAAAAGGACAAATAAATTGACTTAAATATTCTTATTTCTTACATTTCAACTTTCATATGACTATCATTATTTAACTTGTGAACAAATAAAATACAAAAAAAACATATATACTTGTGTTAACCCTATTATAAATGAAGGCATTATTTTTTTTCTATAATCACACTTGATTTAAAAATCATTGAATTTTATTTTCTACTTGTGCAATCATGCAAGGTGATTTTAAAAAAAAAAAAAAAAAATCTGTTGAAGAACTTTGAAATTTGAAATATCTAAAATTAATCTAAAGCATTAAAGTTAAAACATTTAAGCTTATTTAATGTTCTACAAATATAAATTTTCAAAATGAAGGCATTATTTTTTTTCTATAATCACACTTGATTTAAAAATCATTGAATTTTATTTTCTACTTGTGCAATCATGCAAGGTGATTTTAAAAAAAAAAAAAAAAAAATCTGTTGAAGAACTTTGAAATTTGAAATATCTAAAATTAATCTAAAGCATTAAAGTTAAAACATTTAAGCTTATTTAATGTTCTACAAATATAAATTTTCTTACCCACAACAAACACAACAAAGTTACTGCAACCCATATCAGGAAAAATTTTATAAAATCTGTCACACAAATTCTTATTTGACATTGTGCAACATGTTTTATGAGCTGCTATATTTTCACGAGCCTCATAGTTATTGAAATAATACCAGGACCAGGGATCATTGATAAGAACATGTCCAGAGTTGGGTACATATGATGCATCTCTCATTGTTTGCTCCACATCTCTCCAGTCATTTGGGTTTTTGGGTTTTCCCCGTTTATAGCAACACAGCTGAGATGAATAAATCAAAAGAATAAAAAAAAATTTTTTAAATTGTGTAAATATCTTCCTTGCTAATGTTGGAAAATGTTTCCAATGTAGGCTTATTTATAATACAGTTAACTGTTTTTAAAACATCAACAATTATAGCAAAATTAGTTTTTAAATGGAATCTAGAAAAATATATCAGAGATGAACCATAAAGAAAAGTTGATTAACTTAGAATCTAGAATAGACATAATTTGATCATTTGAAAAAGGTAAAGAATAACAAAATTGAAACGATTTATTTGTAAAAATAAAACAAAATAAATCAAAAGAATAAATATTTTTTTTATATAAAAATAAAACAATGGATACAATTTTAATGAAAGAATAACATAATGAAAACAATGTAAACATAATATGAATATTTTTTTCAAATATATTTTTGTAATATTAAATACATTTCGGGTTTATTTCCAGAATTTTAAAGAAGAAAATAACTTGAAAAAAGTAAAATAAAAAAACAACCTGTCAATTTTTATTAAAAATGTACACCTATTTCATGAATTATACAGTCTAAATTTTTTTATTTTTCACAAACGAGTGTAACTAATTTCATTTCTTTATAATTAAAATGTCTGATTCAAAAGCCAAAAACAAAAGCCAAAAGAAATGGCTATCAGGCTATCAAAAATAAATACCTTATTTCTTATATTGCTTGAAAGCAGTCTGGTCTTTGCAATGTGACTGATGACATAGCACTCAATATCATTTTTCTCTCCACGAGTTTCGTACAGCTGCCACTGTGACCCAAGTCTTTCCATTGTGCATGGACACCCATAAAGTGTTCTCTTGTCATTTTCGTAGACAGGGTTAGACAACAGGTTAATTTTACTGCATGTGTAGCTGTGACATTTTTGTAATAAACTGCTGGAGCTTCCAACTTTATAAGTAAAGACACCATCAAAACCTGAAGTAAAAATACAGAGCTCCAAACTAAGTCTAAACCGTATAGACAACAACATCAAAACAAATCTCTGCTGTACTGAAAAATAATGCTCAAATTATAACATTTTTTTTAAAAATTCATTGTACACATATTTATTTTCCATCTACACATGAAAATTATGGTTTTAAATGCTTTAAACCTTACATTCTTAAAATGTAAATGATGAAAAATGATTTGAAAAAATTGCATAAATCTTTTTATATAATATAAGCATTTATTGAACAAAGAACAATTTCATTATAAATTAGCAGCTAATGATACATACAACTTTTATTTCAGCTTTATTTACAATGTAAAAAGTATCACCTGTGTTTCCTTTCATTTTATCTATTCTACTGGCTAACACTATGTTGGTGAAACTAAGGTTATTTGCAGTAAAACCAATATTGATGAGCCTCCCGGCAATGTAAGGCCAGTTCATCTTGCCTTGTTGGTACATAAAGATTACATAGGATGTCAGTTCTCCTATTGTTAAAGCAATATTGAATGTTATAAATAATAATGGTTTCCAAAGATATTAAAATTCATTAAGGTCCATACAAATATTCTATTCTTGTCATTTAAAAATTTTCCAAAGTTTTTTACGACAATATTATCTAAACGAGTTTAAAATTGCTCAAAGGAGTTTAAAATCGTTCAAAGACTTAACATTTTTCAAATTCAAAGCTTTTTTAAATTAATGTTTCTTTTTGTGAAAAAAACTCTAAACAAATGATTATAATCTGAGTTACTCAATGTTTGGATAAAGGAAGTTACTTGAGTTATTATTTTATTGAAAATAAATGTGGCCACATTTTATGGATGAATCGAGATTACCTGCTTGGATTTCCTTTCCATTTTGTGACTCTTTCTTCCAGCCACTAATAAACACTGCTTGGAATGTGATGTTCTCCGTGCCCTATTAGGACACATAACAGAAATTATATTACTTATTATTTGAGACGGCTGGATATTTTGATTTTTAATCACTTCAAGTTAGCATTTTTGGAGAATTTTCCAAAGTTATAGATAAAAATAATTATAATAAAAATATTTTCATTAACCGTACTTAATACTTTATATTTTATCCCTACTGTACTACAATTATTAAGAAATATGGACGTCATGTAATTTAAACAAAGTATAAATTTTCTAAACCTTCTTTTAAATTAAAAAAAAAGCAACTTACATAAATATCCTGGACATCCACCCATGTCAATACTAACACCTTTTCTATGTTGAAACCAATAAAACCATAATATTTTATTAAATCCTGACGAGCACGATTCATCACTTTAATCATAAATGGGGATTTTAAATCATCTTTTGTTCCATCATATGCAGCTTGACCACATTTTTCATAAAGATGGTAGTTCACATGACCTTGAAGAAAATTAGAGAAATAAAATTATACTGTAAAGACAATTACAAATTAAAAATGGTTTTAATCAAAATTAATTTTATAAAATAGTAGACAAAAAGCATGCTAATGATATGAGTTAGATCCTAGAGTGTACTAATTTAATAACTTAATGCTTTCATCAAAAGTGAACACTTTCTTTCGAGCACTGGTCAATTTTGCTTTTTAAAATTATTTGATGTAGGGTGGGATGATTTATTTGAAAAAAACAACAACGTTTATTAGACCTACTCTCCTATACTTAGGGAAATCTATATCCTCAAATGGATATCACGCATAATTCCAACATAATAATATTTAACAAAAAATTTCCTGACCTGAATTAGGTTTAGCATCTGTCCAGTATGGTGCAACAACGTTCCATTTTTTAGATATTGCATGTTTTAGATTGGGTTTAGCAGAGACAGCAATATTTTCATCACCAAAAACAAAGAGTCCATTGTTCATGACCTAAAAAAAAAATGATTTTGTTTATAGGACAAGAAATGCTCATTTTTTATATTATTTAAGCTTAGTCATACATATTTGCTGGGAAGTCTCGTATTGCACTTTAAATTTAAACAAATTTAGTGTTAAGGGCCTACGATCAATTTATTAATCATTTGGCTCCTATGCACGTAGAGGGGATTTGCAATGTTTCTGTGCCTGGTGTTGACGAGGATATTTCACTGATTGCATTTTTATAAGGGTAGTGTGTCTACTTGAATAAAAATACATTCCTATATGCTAAAATTGTACGATTATTTTTAAGTTTTGTTGTTGGAGAGAGCAGCATGGTGGGCCTATACATTCTTTTAAATTACTAATTTTGAATGAAACGAACATGATTTTACGTTAAAGTTAAAGGCTCTCTAAATTTATTTCATAATTATTTTGTATTTCTGTCACCTCAATTTATTAGCTACCAGTAATATAAAACTAAATTAGCACCATAATTTTATTTTAATGAGAAATAAAACAAATTTATTATTTTTTTTTAAAATTTATGAATAGTCAAAGTGATGTGCTTGGATACCATTTGATATAATGTTAAAAAATATCAGCCTTGAATGCCATTCACGTGAAATTAGGCCTATATTTATATCTTCTTTTTGGCTGAAATCATGAGACCCACCATTTTGTAATGGAACATTTCAAAAAAATATTCAACATATTAAATATGGAAATTCTCAAATTATTTTCCCCCCGATTACACTTGAACACTTTATAATATGCATGAACTATTTTAGGGTTGGGGGGAGGGGGAACATTTAAATCCTTGTATCAAAGTTGACATACACTTATAGTGAGCTAAATTCATTTTAACTTATAATTTAAGTAAAGATTTAAAAAACAACACAAATTTTTGTTCTTCACTGTCATTTGGTTTATAAATATATCTAATAACTGAACTCACATATGCAACTTTGTACATGTTTTGTGAGTTTCCAAAAGGAACTGCAGTACTGAAGTAGATGGGTGGGCTCACTAGGATGGCTCCTTTATATAATGACCTGCCATACTTCTGGGAGCTTAGCATATCATCATTAGCGTCAGAGCCATATGGGTAATAGGGAACTGTGAAAAGGCAATGTTTTATATTTAAAGATAATTCAAAATAAGTTTCTTTTCTTTGATCGTATTACAAGGAAATAGTAGGAAAAGTAAAAGGTTTGTGAAGATTGAATCGATAGAAAGTATATTATACTATTGTCCCGTTTTTCGGTTCAAACTTCCAAAAAATTGTCAAACTATTTCCTCCACACAGCTGGAAGTCAGTCTTTCAATTTTATCCTTCGTATAATAATTAAATTTCATACCTCTAGTTGGCGTATCATTATATATTACCTTTGCATACTTATTTTAAAATCCAAAGATTAACAACCAATGACGTAGCTAAGGTTGGTGTCACCTGCGTCCTCAACTCAATAAGAGAACAGCCAATGCTGTAGCGGTAACTCTAATCCAGTCAAGATTAGAGTAATGTAATAGATATTTATGGGGTTTACCTCATAACCAAATTCAGAGACTACAGAAGGTACAAAATACTGCAGCACGCATTGTATCACGGATAAAGAAATCTGAACAGATTAACCCAGGTCTGGCGAGATCTCCATTAGGTACCTGTGATTGAACGCATTAACTATAAAATTATGTCCCTGGCGAACAGCTGCATAGAAGGCTCTGCAACGAAATATCTTAAAGAACTGATTTATGAACATGTGACCTAAAGCACCTGCGGTCTTCAACACAGTCCTTACTGAAAATTCCCAGTGTGGATGGATAGAGAAAAAAAATATTACGGAGTGCGCTCTTTTGAAGCGATAGCGCCAAAATTATGGAACAATTTTCCTCAATCTTTGAGGGGAATTGAAAATGATAAAAATCATTTAAGAAATATTTACAAACTTTTATGTTTAAATAGATTTAAGAACATCAGAGCGCATTGAGCTTGCTAAAGTAACATGGATACCAGCGCTATATAAATATCCAATCAATCAATCAATCAATCAATCAATCAATCAATCAATCTATCTCTCGGAGCGGTAAGCTCTTGGTGTCACCCCGTCCCCCGACTTCCAGGATATAGTTCTTTTTGTTAAAATAAGACCACAGTATAACAATGACGAAGAAAAACATATTGATGGTCAGGTGTAATGTATTTAAGAACTTTAACAACGTTAAGTTGTATTTTTTACATTACATTTAGTTCATTTCAAATGTTCATTTCCTGGTCTTCAAAGCTGTACATCTGTCAATCGTTTGACCAAAAGCAATATCCTTCACCGAATCACTTTCATTTGATAGTAGAGCCACATCAGAAAGCCTTGGTTGTTCCATGGTGCATCGTAAGTTCTCTTCTTCAACCTTTATAGAGTTACCTCATTTCTAACGCATCAACCATGAACTTTTAATAAAGCACGCATTTTTATTGGTTACATGTGCGGGAAATTGACCTTTTATGAAATTCGGTTAGATCCAGGAGTGTGTGTTCTGTAAATATGCACTTTTTCAATTTGGTGTCACCCCTGAGATACTGTCAACCGGTGCGATCGGTACCCCCCTTACGCCCTAGCTACGCCACTGTTAGCAACGATTTTAAAGAGTTAATGTGAAAAAAATATGCTCAAATACAATTAAATTCAATCACGATTCAGCGATCCTTTATTAAATATGTATTTTACATGAACCAACCTATTACCAGCAAACAGCTAGCCTGTGAAATAAAAAATAAACTCACCAACACAAACCAATCCTGTGACATCAAGTTCTAATCCATCTGGGCAAGCACATTGTTCAATATCATTTAGTATGTAACAAGAGTGGGAACATTGCTTTATGTAACATTCCGTTGAAGCTAAAATAATAAAAACATTTGAATATAAAATATAGATGGAAA